AACTAAGTGGGCAGAACAGTCCTACCTCATTCACTGGACTCAAAGAACCTATGCAAGCAAGTTCCCTGGGAGACCAAAGAGAAGAGTCACCATTTGACTACAGCTATTTGGAGGGCCTTATTGAGAAAATGGTGTCTGAGTGCCACCTTTGAGAGAGGACTTTTTATTTAAAAACAATGGAGTTGAGGATGGGCTCCCAGGCTGAGGGAACCGCAGGTATAAAGACAAGTGGTAGGAAAGTCCCAGGTGATCTTGGAGAGGTGTGTTTTTATAGTGGTGTTTGTATGAAAGGCGATTTTAACAGCTGGATGATGACTCTTGAAGATAATATCACAAAGCAGGGGTTAGAGGTGTGGATTCTGGTGGTAGACAGACCTGTCTGGTCAGCCTCTCCTAGGGAACAAAGCCAGGTGCCATTCTTCATGACTTTTCGTTCCTCGTAGGGCTGCCTCTCCTAGACATTGGAAATGCTAGATAAGCATTACGGGCCTAGGATCCAACTGTAGCCAAAGGGGCTTGAAGGGAAAATCTGTAGAGGGATTTCTGGAAAGTTATCTACCTTGTTATAAAAGACTCTAAGAACTTTTTTCCTTTTCCCTTTGCAACATGGTTGTGTGAAAGTGTCAGCTCTGGAACTATCACAACTGCACTGTAATCATGAAAATACAAACTAAAGCTGCAAGCCAAGGTGCCGAGGGTGCCGAGAAGACACAGTACTTTGGCGTCAATGATATAATTGTGCCTCTCTATGTGTGCTCCTCCATATTTGAACCTTCATGTTTCATAAAAGGATGTACTTTCAGACGTATCCACCCTGGGGCATGTGTCCTAGGAAACAGTAAATGGAACCCAACAATAGCATGTTATATAAAAATGTAGGATACCCCACAAGCTATTTTGCCTAGGCACTAGCTTAACAGCAGCTCAGAGGTAGAAAAGAAAATAAGTAATTCTCTCACCTAAGAGAATGGAAGATGGCAGCCATCTTCCACTTTCCAAAAAATTAAATACTTAAGTTGGGCATGGTAGCTCACACCTGTAATTCCAGGGCTCAGAGGCAGGAGGATTGCTACAAGTTCTAGGCCAACCTGATCTATATAGCAATTTCTATGCCATCCTGGGGTATAGAGCAAGACCTTAGATAAAACAAACAAATGAACAAAACAAAACACCCAGCAAAGGTGATGGACTGAGGCTCACTAGTTAAGAGTGCTGGCTGGGCTTGCAGAGGATCCTAGCACCACACAGTAGCTTGCAACCATCTGTAACGCCAGGGGAGCCAATGCCTTCTCTGGCCTGCATGGATGCCAGGCCAATACATGTTTCACATATGTACATGATGGCAAAACACTCATACACGTAAACTACAAGTAAGTACTTATAAAACCACAATACACTAAATAAGTATCTAGAGCGTATAATCTAAAAATATATTCTATATGATTTTTTTAATTTTTTGTATTTCTTTAAAGATTGTGGTTGGGCTGGCCAGATGGCTGAGTAATTAAAAGGCAAGTGACATTATCCTCTGACTTCCACACATGTGCTGCGGAACACACAAATATACACATACACTAATTTTTTTACACACACAAACACTAATTTTTAAAAAAAAATCCTAGTGGTTATTTTAAAAATATTCATTAATATTTACCAGGTCGTATGTAATGGGATTGTGCGGGAAGTGAGGCTAGAATCCGAGTGCTGGTGGCCCCAGAAAGCTTGCAGGAAGAACCCTTCATTCTGGGAAGGGAAGGGTGGAGCTGGAGCGACAGCCTAGGAGCTGACCTGAGACCCACATCAGGCAGCTCAGAACTGCCCATGACTGCAGCTCCGGGGGTGGGGTCAGGGGTCAAATGCCCTTTCCTAGCTTCCAAGGGGATGAGCACACCTGTGGCATATACTAAAAACGACACAGACACAGATACAAATAGACATTTAAAAAAGCAAAAACAAATCTTCCCAAAAAAAGTAGAAGAAAGGGAGGAAGAATGAAAGAATTTTCCAAACTTGGTGGTGCACACGTGTAATCTCAGCACTTGGAAGTTGGAGGCCGAAAGTTTCGGAAGTTTAAGGCTATCCTTAGCCACACACACAGCAATTTTCAGTCCAGCCTGGGCTACATGAGGTCACGTTTTTAAAAAGGATGAGAGGAGAAGAAAGAAAAAGAACAGCGCAGGGTTAGAGACACATGCTTAGCATACAGGAAGCCCTGCACTCAATCCAGAGGAACACCCCTACACTGAGGAAGTACAGAATTCCTGTGTCCTCAGTGTCTACTTCATTGGTCAGTAATATTTCTAATTAAAAAAAAAACATCATGAACTATATTAGTTATTCTTCTATTGCTACGATAAAGACCATGATCCAAAGCAACTTGGGTAGAAAGGGTTTATCTCATCTTACACTTCCAGGTAACAGTCCATCAGTGAGGGAATGAGGCAGAGACTCATCCAGAGGTCGTGGAGAAATGCTAGCTTAATCTTCTTTCTTATACAGCTCAGGACCACCTGTCCATGGGTATCACCTCCCACAGTTGGCTGGGCCTTCTCACATCAATTGTTAATGAAGAAAATGTCCCACAGACTTGCCTGTTGGCCAGTTTTAAAGAAGTCATTTTCTAGGTTGAGGTTCCCTCATCTCTAATGACTCTAGTTTGTGTCAAGTTGACAAAAACCAGCCTGCGCAAGTATGGATGATGCTCACACAGGCTCTACCATTAGGCTTAAGAATGGTGCTTGCTGCCAGGCCTGATGACCTGAGTTTGATTTCCTGGGATCCTGGAAGGAGAGAACAGATGCTCATAAGTTGTCATCTGACTGTCACATACTACATGGCACACCCACTACATAGTATATAAACAAATGTAATTTAAAAAATTAAAAATGAGCCACTTGCTCTTCTTACTGTCCAGGCCCAAAGCCTTGGCTCTCCACTCAGAGCCACTGACTCTCCAGGATTTAGTGCTCCTGTCTTTCTTTGTGGCTTTTCTAAATTTGGATAACCCCCTGGAGACACATAGTTTCCAGTGTCTAAGCTGGCAGGACCATATGTTTATATGCACTGTGCTGCAACTTGCTCTGGTTTTGTTTTTGTCTTGTCCCTCAGTCACCTTCTCCAGCAAATCAGGATGCAGGTCTCTCCAGCAGGAGGTCCCTGGCCACAAGCACTCCATCACCTGTGTCTCAGCCACCACGGAGCATTGCAGTAGAACAGGAATCAAGCAGGCAGGAGCCAGAATTTGTTTAGAATTTCATCTGAACACACCTGAATATGTATAGAGTGGCTACCTTGAACAAGGACAGTCCTGGTTTGTAGATCTGCCCAGTTGTCAGCAAGTTAGTCGAGGATTCCTGAGTAAGAATCCCCACCTGTTCCTAAGAGGCTGTGATCAGAAAGGAAGTCAGAGATGGACTACAGGGTCTACCTGGTGCTGCAGCCCCAAGTGCTGGACGAGCTCTGACAGTGCTTTCTTGTTTATTTCAGCATCTTTAGCCTAATGAAGAATTTCACTCCTGAGTTAACTCTGTTAGTTTTGTTATCCTTACCTTAGCTGCCTCCTCCAGGATCACCCCACCCGAGGGCTCACCTAAGTGTCTAACAGTATCAGGGAGACACCAGCGATCAGGCCTAGCATACCAGTGAGGCCAGGGCTTGATACCCAGCAGTGCAGAAGCAACCAGACAAACACCTAAGGTTCCCATGTGTCCTGTACATTCTAGAGTTCATACTTTGGCCTCAGCTGAACTAGGATGACTATTGGCCTCCCTGTGTTCCACTTCCATAACCAGAACCTCTGTCCATCTCAGTTCCCATAAGGCCATTCTAATGACAATTGGCTTGTACAGAGAGAGTCAGAGAAGAGGTGAGCTGAAACTAACAACTAATTACAAAGATTTTAAAAACTGAATCCTTCCACCTTTGAAATATTTCTTCTTTTTTCTTCCAAAGTGAGAAGTCTCTCGGATAACTACCAGGTACCCAGAAAGGTGTCCAGGCTGCACTGCATTTGCATTTCTTACTTTCATTCCTGTTTGCAAAATTTCTTAGGCCAATGTGTTGTGAAAGTGGACATGAATGTGCATTTTCAAATTATGGGACTGAGAGCCTAGAGAAATGGCTCAGTGTGTAAGGGTGTATGCCGTACAAACACAAGGACCCGAGTCCAGATCCCAGCACCTGCATAAAAGCTCCATGTGACCCCTTACACCTCGAGCCCAGCACTGTAGGATAGCAGGGACAGGAGGCTCACTCAGGCTGGGTGGTTGGCAGTCTGTGTCTCAGAGGAATAAAGTAGAGAGTGATAGAAAAGAGTCTGATATCCCCCTCTGATTGCCACTCAAACATGAGCACACACATATACACATCACCCAGAAAATTAAACAAAACAAGGCAACCAAAACAAAAAAAGCAAGCTGGGTGGTGGTGGTGTCTGACTTCAATCCCAGATGTCATGAAGCAGAGGCAGTGGGATCTCTGTGAGTTCCAGGCCACCCTGGTCTGGTCTACAGAGCTTCTTCTAGGAGAGTCGGGACTACACAGAGAAACCCTATCTACACACACACACACACACACACACAC